TACCCTGGGAGATGAACTCAGGTCCTTCCTTATTTCAGGTGCATTTGACCAACCAAGCCATTTCCACCAGCCCAGAAGTGGCGCCCTCCACCGAGAGCTGGGTCCTCCCACACCAATGACTAATTAAGAAAACGTCTCACAGGCATGTCTACTGGCCAATCTGGTCGGAGCACTTTCCTCAATTAAGAGTCCCTCTTCCCAAATGACTCTAGCTGTGTCAAGGTGACGTAAGTTAGCCAGCACATCCATCAATGCACAATAATATAGATAAATAAAGAAATAAATGTTCGAAGAGCTTTTGAAAATTAAAACAAAAACAAAACCAAAAACAACCTAAGCCCAAAGACTTAGGAGGGAACTCGCAAGGCCCGCCAGACCGCGCACCGGGAAAACGCAGCAGCTCGGCTCTGTAGCCCGAAGCGCACAGCGCAGACACCAGCCTGAGGCCCTGCGTGGTCTTGCCAGCACGGTCCACGCCCTCCAGCACGATGAGCGCCCCCCGACGCGACGCCATCGAGACCGCCAGCACGCACAGCTCCAGCGAACCTGTCAGGTTTCCGGCAATGCTGCAGCAGAAAGCAGGAGCGCGAGGGTGCTCTCGCCGCAACTCCTCTTCCGGCTGGAAGTCGAATTCTGTAGCCCCGGGGGGCCGGCTCCGGAAGTTGCGTTACTCGTGGCTTGGGAACCCAGACACCACCAACTCGCGGAACTTCCGTTTGCAGCGCCCAGAAAGGGCCAATGTTATCGACTGGGGTTGTGCAGGCTCTGGTCACGTGGAAATTCTAGCACAGTAACGGAATCAAATTTTCATGCGCCGGAGCCCGCTACTGTAAGGTTCTAAACGTTTATCACAGTAGCCTAAGATACGAGCACAGTAGACCCTCAAGACGTGCTGCAGCCTCTTTAAAGCGTTTAGAAAAGCTTGTTGTTTCAGTGTTACCGGGATTGTGTCGAAAGCCCAGGAACAGAAGTTGGTGAAAGGAAATGGATTTATTTGCAGCGTCAGCCAAAAATGAAAAATTCCCGCCTTCTTTTTGACTTGCCCCTAGTAGTGTTTTTACAGAAAAAATTTAAAGGCAGGAAAATCTGAGTTTAAGGCCAGCTACGTGGTAAGTTTCAAGCCAGCCAGGGCTACATTGTGAAGCCTAGTCTCAACAATAAAGCAAAACAAACCAACAAACAGTACTCTAGAGGCTGAGGCAAAAAGATCTTCAGTTAAAGGCTGGCCTGAGCTATGTTTCAGTAAGATTGATTAGGGAAGTTCTCAGTTACGTGCCTAACAGGGGTGAAGACGATTCCATACCCAGCACAGAATAAATTGCATATACTGAGTGTCATATCTTACAATCCCAGAACTTGAGAGGTAGAGGCAGGGTCAGACTTTAAAGGTCTGTGCAAACATTTGAACTGACAACTAGTTAAAGAAGATACTTAGATGCCAAACATAAATATGTAAAATGCTCATCATAAAATTGGTAGGAATCATAAATGAAAAAGATAATATTACACCTCTTCTAGAATAGCAAAATCTACATTTGCAACCATCCAGTACACTGGTGAGGATGTGGAGCAAAGGAAACTGTCAATGCTGATGAGAAGTGTGGAGAGCTGCTTGTTTGTCAAGCTGCTTTGTTATTTATCAAAAAACATGTTTTCAGGCTGGAGAGATGGCTCACAGGTTAGGAGCACTGTCTGCCTTCCTGAGTTCAATTCCCAGCAACCACATGGTGGCTCATAGTCATCTATAATGAGATTGGATGTCCTCTTATGGCCTGCAGGCATACATGCAGACAAAACACAGTATATATAATAAATAAATCTTAAAAAACAAAACAAAACATGTTTTCACCCTGGCCTTCAGCTTGAGACAAAGAGGAAGTTTTACCAAGTTCCTTGAAACTTGTTTGTGTAACCTTGGACCATATCTGCTACAGGGAAGTAGTTTTAGAAAACAAGTTTCACAGTTCCACAAACTTCTTTCTTGTATTGATGTGACTTGTTTTTGCTTTGCCTATAAAAAGAAATTGTGGAATAAACTCAGGTTGCAGTCTTACTGACAGCCCTCTCAAGCTGGCCCCATGTGTAGTGTGACTTGCTTTAATTATTTCAGTCCTCACTCCCCACTCAGGAACTGTTCAACTCTGTGGGTGGGGTTCAGAAAAGACAGAAACAGTGTGGCCAGTTTGGAGGACAGCTTGGCCGTTTTTCAAGAAGGTCAGTAATTACCCAGGTGAGTTGGAAACTATGTCTACAGAAAAACCTGCACACAAATGATTGTATCAGTTTTCTCTACACTTGCCTAAATATAGAAGCAGCTAAAATGTCCTCCAACAAGTAAACTTATAAACTGGTAATTACACAGTGGAAAATTTCTCAAATAAGAAATAATAGAATTATAAAGTCATATTGGGACATGGAGAAACTTCAAATGCATCATGATAAAGTGAAGCCAGTTTGAAAAGAACTTTATACTATAAATCCCAACCAAATGGCATTCTAGAAAGAGCAAAGCTACAGAGATTCTAAAATGTTTAATGGTTACATGTGTTTGTGTGTCCCATACTGTAGAAGACCAGAGGGATTCAAGGCAGTGAAAATATTCTTCAGGATGCCATAAGGGGAATTCTTAATATGTATTTGTCAGAAATATAAGACCACAGCAAGAGTGGACTCTATGGTAAACTATGGATTTTAGTTAATGTGTCAATATTGTTTCATTAACTATAACAGAGTTACCATAGAAATGCAAATGTCTACCACCGAGGAAACTGGTTGCAGAGCCCTATGGGGACTTACGCTCTATTTTTCAGGGAACCCAACACTGTTTTTTTTTTTTTTCTCTTAACTTTATTATTTATTTATTTATACAATATTCTGCCTGCATGTTTATCTGCAGGCCAGAAGAGGGCACCAGATCTCATTATAGATGATTATGAGCCATCCTTGTGGTTGCTGGGAATTGACTCTGGACCTTTGGAAGAACAGCCAGTAATCTTAACCCCTGAGCCATCATCTCTTTAGTCCCCAACACAGCTTTAAAAGGGGCAATTAGTGTTTAAAATGAGCTCTAGAACATAGACAGGTACAGTGCAATCCTGTTTGTTTCTTCATTTAAGCATTAAGTGTACAGAGAGGAGCACCTTCTTCAAAGGTAAGGCCCTAGACCCAAAGGTAAAGGCCATGAGAGGGAGTAGGAAACATTTTAAATTCTTATACAGAGTAAATTTTCTTTTCTTTTGAGACGGTTTCTCTGTATAGTCCTGAGTGTCCTAGAATTCACTCTGTAGATCAGGCTGTCCTCAAACTCAGAGATCTACCTGCCTCTGCCTCCTGAACGCTGGGATTAAAGGTGAGTGCTACCACACCTGGCTTTTTTTTTTTTTTTTAATAGAATGAATGCGTCCAAGGCTAGGAATATAGTTCACTTGGTAGAATGCTTAACCAGTAATGGCACATCCCTGAAATACCAGCATTTGGGAGCCCCTGAAATATTATTAGCATTTGTGAGGTGGAGGCTGGTGGATCAGTTCAAGGTCATCCTTGGCTACACATTCATATTGAAGGCAGCCTGGGCTACATGTGCTCCCAAACTGCATTTTTTAATCATGAGGATCATGGGCCAGGCATGGTGGTGCATGCCTTTAGTACCAGTATTGGATGGCAGAGGCAGCTGGACCTATGAGTTCAAGGACAGCCTGAACTACAAAATAGGGAGACCCTGCCTCAGAAAGTCTAAAAGAAGGAAAAAAATCAAAATAAGAAGAAAACCCCGCTTTTTTGGTGTGTTATGATAAATTGTACAATTTGAGGCTGGAGAAATGGCTCAGAGTTTAAAAATCATTTTAAAACTGTACAACCAGTGGGGTGCGGTGGTGGAGCCACCTGTAATTCCAGCATTCAGGGAGGCAGAGGCAGGCGGATGGCTGTGAGTTCAAGGACAGCCTGGCCTACAAAGCGAGTCCAAGATAGCCAAGGCTACACAGAGAAACCCTGTCTCGAAAAAAGCAAAAAACAAACAAACCAACAGTAACAAAAAAACTCCCGTACAACCAACAACCATTACTCTCAGGAGTCAAAGGATGTGAGGGGTTGTTCCCGCATAGTTGCTGTAGTGTTCCTTGGCCCTGGAGCTTTCCTGACAGGATGAATCCCTTACTTCTGGTCACTATAAAGTTAAGAGTAGAAGCATGATTGGCACGTGGTAACTCAAATTTCGCCATGTATCTTTGCTGGAGATAATTTCCCCCTTAAAATTTTTTTGTGAAACGGTCTCGTTAATCTTGGATGGTTTGGAACTCGCTAGGTCGACGACCACAGGCCTCGAACTCACGGAGACACCTGTTTCTGCCTCCCCCGTGCTGAGATTAAAGGCGCGTGTCCCCACGCTCGGCTTTTCCAGGTATTTTTGCAGGCGTCGAGGTCTGTACATGGCTTCTTCACAACCACTGAAGTGTGTGCATGGCTTCTTCACAAAGTGCGGGACAAGGCACCAAGACCCAGTGTGGGCTCGACCCCTCGGGACAAGATAGCAACAAAGAGCATCAAGGTTTAACCAACGCCTGTGCGGGTCTCCTTCTTCCTGCAGGACCCCGCAGCTAGGAGAAAGCTCAGGCAGCTCGTGCCGTCTCATGGCCCGGCCAGACCCCAGGTCTGAACAACGCGGGCGCAGGTGCAGGTGTCGGTTGGAGGGTGAAGCCTGGAGCCAGCACACGTGCAGGCGGTGTTCTCCGCCAGAAACTCAACAGGGCACCGCCACCTCTTGGAGGGCGGCTGGAGCAAGAGAAGTAGCTTCCGCATTGCAAACCGCAGACTCCATCGCCCACCCGGATTCCCTCAGGGCAAACACCACAGCGCCTCCTGGCGACCGCAGCCGACCGGAAGCAAGAGGGTGGTTCCTGACGCGCCCCGCCCCTTCTGTGGCCAATCGACGCGCGCGGCTCATGAATAGTGAGCGCGCGGCACCGCCCCGCCCCGAGTCCGCGGCACCGCCCGCTCGCGCAGACCCCGAGCGTGGCCGCAGCGAAGATGGCGACTGCCATGTACTTGGAGCACTATCTGGACAGTAAGCACTGTGGCCGAGCCGCCGCCCGCGAGGGTCCGCGTCGCCGCCACTGCCGCCGACCCCGGCCCACCGCGATCCCTGCGGGGCTCCGGGATGCCGGGACGGATGGGGACAGATCATGGGGACAGTGGGGGGTATACACGGCTGGGCTGGGGCGGGGCCGCGGATGGAGGGCGTGGGGCGCGGCGCGGGGTCCGGCCGCCTCCGCCGCGCCAATTCCAGGTGCGTCACGGAGGGGTGTGGCCTGAGGCTCAGCCTGCTCTCTCCGCCTCGGCCACACCCCCGACGCTGGCCACGCCCCCAGTCCGATCTTGCTTGTTAGGAGGCCCGCCCCTTCTTAACCTGCTGCTTATGGTGGCAAGATCCCCGTGTGGAGCAGAGAACTAGTGTTTGCATGTGGGGCTGTGGAAGTAGCACTAGGCTAGTGGGGTGCGCTTTTTTCGCGGGAGTTCGTGATATAGCAAGCCAACAACAAGGGTTGCTGTCCTGTAGAACGGGCACACCTTTGACATACCAGGTGTTTCTAACTCCGTTTATTTTATAGATGGTGAGATTGGTTCCTGGCGAGTATTGGGAGGAGAATTATTTCCCATTCATAACAGAGGAGGAATTGAGACCCTTTGGAGGGAGGTGGATCAAGCCAATGGGGCGCCCATTCTGCTTTTTTTTTTTTTTTTAGCTGGGCTGGAGAAGTGGGACTCCAAGGTGATCTGTCTTTATTCTGATGTCCATCCAGTGGACATTCTAATTTGGATCCAAGATGAGTTTATTTCAGTGCTGGCATCCTGTGATGCTTCCCTGTCTGCTCTCCCCACCTGCCCTGTGCCACGTGTGGGCAGGAGCCCCATTTCTCTATAACTCATTGATAGTTGGGGTGCACTTTTTTTTCTTTTTAAAGTTCACAGAAGGTTAAGGCTTGGAAATAAATATAGATCTGGAAGCTGCAGGTAAAGGTCGCTCTGAGAGTAGAGAGGTCCACTGGAGGGCATAGGGCTGACGAGCTGCCAGGGCCAAAGGAGTCAAACTGTGTATGGGATTGTCTTGATGAGCTCAGGAAATTACAGGCTTAAAACGTTTTGTAAGACTTAGCCCTAAAATGCTGGCCTTATGGGCTGTGGAGAGTATTTGAGTGTGACTAGACCCAGAGAGGCAACTGGACCCTGCTATGAGCTTGAGGATAGAAGCAGATCTGCACTAGGGGTTACAGTGCGGGCAGAAAAACAACGTGAATTGGTTTGCCAAACCAGCTCAGTCTAACTACAGGGTCTGGTGAACTGCTCAGTGGTACTGTTTGCATTTACAGTGCTCATAGCTGTGTGTGGCCAGAGGCTGGTCTGTTGGGCCATGCGGAGAGCCCATGTCTGGGACTACCTGGCCCGTAGTTCCTGGTTTGGTAGCCATCAGGACAAAGTTGGAGAGATAAAGGAGGACCCAGGCTCTGGCGTGAGCTTTTGGAAGTTAAGTTTGCTGGGTGGTGTACCTAGGGGTGAGGGCCAGTGTAGTTCATGGACTAGTCTCAGCTGTCTTCCCTGTCTGTGTCTGCGGGGCCGTGTTCCTGCACCCTCCTTGTCAACTGACGCTGCTTTTGAAGCTGCCAGCCTGTTCTGTGCACTGTTTGGTGCCTCCCCCTAAAATGGTCTCCAATGGTCTCCAATCATTTTGATCTCCAAGCTGGAACAGGAATAAAAGACAAAGCTCTCAGGCTTTGGTTTAAGGCGCTAGAGATAGTTGCGGTTTTTTTTCCTCTTAAGAGTTATTTGTAATTTTTTGTATATGGGTGTTTTGCGTGTAAGTCTGTGCACTACATGTATGCAGTGACCTCTGAAGCCAGAAGAGGGCATCGGATTCCTTAAAACTGGAGTCAGATGGATGTGAGCCTTCACGTAGGTGCTGAGACTTGAACTTGGGTCTTCTGGAAGAGCAGTAAGTGCTCTTAATAGCTGAGCTGTCTCTCCCATCGGTGGAGGCAGATTTTTGTCTGACTGAGAAGTACAGCACCTTCCTGTCTCTTTCAGGCATTGAGAACCTTCCCTGTGAACTTCAGAGGAATTTCCAGCTGATGCGAGAGCTAGACCAGAGAACAGAAGGTGGGTATAGCCTGAGCTGGGTTTTGACCATTGTCCAGGGAGAGATATAGTAGAAGATGTGGGGGATCAGAGGGCCCTGAAGGGACTGTGTATAGTGCAGGGTTAGCATTGCACAGTGTGTTGGAGGGAATGCTGGTACATTTTGTTTTTGTTTTTGTTTTTGTTTTTGAGACAAGGTCTTGCCCTGTAACCGTGGCTAGCCTAGAACTGGCTGTGTAGACCAGGCTGGCCCCAAACTCTTAGGGATCCCCCCCCCCCTTCTGCCTCCTGGCTTCCAGGAATAAAGGTGTGCACCACCATGCCCAGCTCAGGTACTTTTTTTTTTTTTTTTTTTTTTTTTTAAAGACAGGGTCTTGTTCTGTAGCCCAAGCTGGCCTTGAACTCCCAGTGCACCTTTCCATAGCCTCCTGAGTATAGGGGTAGGGAGGGAAGTACTGGTACTTTTAACTCAAGTCTAGTTTCTTGCATTTTTTTTAAAAACTGTCTCTCTTTCTGTGCGTGGAGACATGCACTTGCTGTGCATATGTGTGCATGCCTGTGGGGGAGGGGGCATGTGCTCATGGCACATGTGTAGGGGTCAGAAGTCACCTTGGATTTAAACCTCATCTCTCACCTTGTTTGAAACAGGTTGTCTTTTCATACTCATTGCTGCATATACCAGGCTAGCTGGGATTTCCCAGTCTCTGCCACCTATCTCCCAGCTGGAATTACAGATGCACATACTTCCACACTTGGCTTTTAAGTGGATTCAAGAGGATTCGGTCTCATGTCCTTTTGCTTTTGCAGCAAGCACTTTACCCATGGAATCATCTACGTAGCCTATTTTTTTATAGCCCTGGTTGCCCTTGAACTTGCTGTGTAGATTAGGCTGGCCTGGAACTCTACCTGCCTCTGCTTCCTGAGTGCTGGGATCTAACGCCTTCTCTCTCCTTCACCAGGTACCAGGCACACACACAGCATATCTACATAGATGCAGGCAAAACAGATGCATTGAAATAAATATTAAAAAGTTTCACATACTTAGGAATAGTCAACGAATGTTTGAGAAGTTAGTTTTTGCCTTTTGATATATTCCTACTTAAAAACAATTTAGGGGGCTGGAGAGATGGCTTAGAGGTTAAGAGTACTGGCTGTTCTTCCAAAGGTCCTGAGTTCAATTCCCAGCAACCACGTGGTGGCTCCTAACCATCTACAGTGAGATCTGGTGCCCTGCTTCTGGTGTACAAGCAGAATGCTGTGTACATAATAAAGAAATAAAAAACTTTTTTAAAACTTACTTTATATGCATGGGTTCTGCATGTATGTCTGTGCACAGCATGCATGCCTGATACCCCAGAGGCCAGAAGAGGGCATTAGATCCTCTGTAACTGGAGTTATAAACAGCTGTGAGCTGCTATGTGGGTGCTGGAAATTGAAACTCAGTCCTTTGGAAGAGCAGCCAGTGCTCTTAACCCCTGTGCCATCTCTCCAGCTCCTGTTTCCACACTTTGAAAAAACAACCAAACATATGCTTACTTTATATCATATGCATAACTGTTTTGTCTGCATTTATGTATATGGGCCACCTGTGTGCCTTGGTGTTGCAGGATGCTGGAAGGGAAAGCATCAGCCTCACTGGAGTTAGAGTTTAGAGTTAGGCTGGTTGTGAGATGCTGTGGGATTAAGTCTGTGACCTCCATAAGAGCACACAGTGTTCTTAACTGCTGAGGCCTCTCTCCAGCCTTATATACTTAGAACTTAAAAAGATGGATTTATTTTTACTTAAACATATATACCTGTGTGTGTGTATGCAGGACTCATGGAAGCCAAAAGAGGATATTGGGGCCCCTGAGCTAGGCAGTTATGAGCTGCTGTAAGTGTAAGTAGATGCTGGAAATCAAAGTCCAGTCCTCTAGAAGAACAGCAGGTGCTCTTAACTGCTGACTCATCTTTCCAGCTCACGCCCCCTTTTAAATATTAATTAACTTGTGTGAGTGTGTGTATACACACATACATGTGTTTCTGTCATAGTGCATATGGAGGTAAGAGGATAACTGTGGGAGCCTGTTCTTTCCTAACACCAAAGACTGAACTCATGTCATTGAGCTTGATGGCCAATATCTTCATCCACTGAGCCACCTTACTGTCTGTCCCTTTTTCCCTGCCCAAACTGGGTCTCTTAGCCCAGGCTGGCCTTGAACTTGCTGTGTAGCCAAAGCTGGCGTGAAGTCCTAAGTCTTCCTTCTCTACCTCTCAAGTGCAGGGATTGTAGAAATGTTCTGTCATGCCACTCTTTCAACTCCGTATTTCTAAAGAACATGCTCTTATTGCCCGCCTTTGCCTTCCCTCCCATCCTCCCTCCCTCCTTTCTTCTCTTGTGCTGCTAGGTAATGTGGATGGAGCATGTGCCTTGCTTCCTAGTCTTACTGTAGGTTGGGTGTTTAGAGTGCTTCTTGCTCTGGGCTATTGAATATGTTATCCTGAGTGTCTTCTGGTGTCTAAATACCTCTCTTTTAGGTATGTGACTAAGTTGTGCACCAAAAGCTAGGAAAATGACCATAAATATACTGTTGAGGAGAATCGGAGGGCAGTTTGACCACTTGCTGGACAGTACTTGTGCTGGGTCTATCCTGTGTATGTTGTACCAGGAAGCACACAGTGACATGGCCAGTGATGCTCCTGCCAGCTCCCTGGATGCATGCCACTCTTATCTCTTGCTTCCACTTCTCACCTGTCCCCATTAGATAAGAAAGCAGAGATTGACATCCTGGCTGCGGAGTACATTGCCACAGTGAAGACTCTTTCTTCAGAGCAGCGTGTGGAGCACCTGCAGAAGATCCAGAGTGCCTATAGCAAGTGCAAGGAGTACAGTGATGACAAGGTGCAGCTGGCCATGCAGACCTATGAGATGGTGAGTGCCTGGCCAAATGCAGGCTTTCGCTCCTGCCTTGCGTGCCATAGAATGGAAAGTGTGTACACATAGAGGCAAAGAACACATGGAGGGAGTCTTCATCTGGGCCTACTCCTGTGATTTTGGATTTTTTGAGGGAGGCCCTCTGTTTGTCTTATTGGTGAAACCATGTTTTGTTTGTGTTTTCTTGGGGTGGGGGTGGGGAATCTGATCCGGGGCCTTGTGCATACCAAGCAACTGCTGAGCCAGTGAGCTGCGTCCCTGTCCTGTTTACTCTAAAGTCAGCTTTTCACGTGTTCTTTTGCAGGTGGATAAACACATCCGAAGGCTTGATGCTGACCTGGCACGCTTTGAGGCTGACCTGAAGGACAGAATGGACGGAAGTGACTTTGAAAGCTCTGGACCACGAAGTTTGAAAAGCAAGTTGGCTGATAATCTGTTTGCTAGGGATTGCAGTTTTGAAGGCTTTTGTCTAAATGTGTTAGGAACACGATGGTGAATGAAGCTGGGTGAATCTTGCTTGGATCTGTTCTGTGAGAATAATGGGGGGGGGTCTTTGTTCTTCAGAAGGTCGGAGTCAGAAAGAAAAAAGAAGCTCCCGGGGCCGAGGCAGGAGGACATCAGAAGAGGATACGCCAAAGAAAAAGAAGCATAAAAGCGGGTAAGTGGGGTTAGTTTGTTTTTTTTCAAGATAGGGTTTCTCTGGGTAGCTCTAGCTGTCCTGGAACTTGCTCTGGAGACCAGGCTGGCTTCAAACTCACAGAGATCTGCCTGCCCCTGCCTCCTGAGGGCTGGGATTAAAGGCGTGCACCACCAGCGCCCAGTGATTCTTTTTTTTTTTTTTTTCCTTTTAATAACTTGTATAAATGATGTGGAGAGTAACCATCTCTTATCCCTTAGGGTAATTTCTTCTTTAGTCCAGGCAGATTGAGCTGGGGTCTGCTTAGCACCCCACCCACATTTCCACTTTCAGGTATTTTGGGAACCTGCCCTGGCTCTGATCTAAGAATTGTGGTTTCCCAAAGTTGCCCATGGTTTCAGTCTGCGCTGAGGTAGTGGGTCTTCCCTTTCTTGCCTCCAGTTTACACTGCTTCTGGGTTGAGGGAGGCTGGCTATGAAAACAGTTCCTGTTCTCACAGACTCTAGAGCTGAGGGAATTGTCACTCTGCATTTGTTAACTTGTACCTCATTTAGTTCCCATATTCAGCGTATGTTCTCAGGGTATATGGCGTCCACATGTAGGTCCTAAAGTGTTATATTGATAGCTGGGTCACCAGTTCTGCCAAATCCAGCAGTGGGACAAACCCCTCTCCAGTTAAAGGTCACCCAGCTTCATTACTCCAGGGTCTTGCTACCTACAAGAGGTGGTTTTGAGCTTTGCATTTCTGACTTGTGGGATGTTCCTTCCTTCCCAGAAACCAGAGGCTGTGTGACTGTGCTACTTCTGGGTTTGCACAAATATTCTTGCTGGTGTCTTCACTGAGTGTTTCACCTGGTGTCCTAGGCATGAAGAGCCCTGCATAGGTTCTCTAGGTGGTGGGGAGGCCATCGCCCACTGGCTGGAGCATCCTCCTGAGGCCTCAGGTGTCAGGCAGGCATTGTAACTGCTCCTAAAGACACACAGATTGAGGCATACTGTTGAGCTTCTCCCTTGATGGGAGCCCTCATATTATGGCTGATGCTTAGGAGACAGTCATTGCTTTCAGGCCCGTTTGCTGGGCTGGCTGCAGTAATGGCTGAATGGTGTCGTGGTAGGGTACCTGCTCTGTATTGACTTGGCATTGTCTCATCTTCTCTCTGGCCCCTGAATGACAGTGCTATCACTACCCCAATTTACATAATGTTCAGACAGGGCAGACTGATGGAACAAAAGGTGGGCTCGGGCTTTGACATCTGATGCCCAGAGCAGCTTCCACAGAGTAGATATCTAGAGACAGCAAGAGGCACTTAAGTCCTGGACTTGCTGGATCAAGGTGGGAAGCTTGGTGTGGTGTCAGAATCTGAAGTTTATAGACACTTGCCTGTTGCTAGCCTGGAGTTATACACAGTCCTGATCCCTAAGCCATGTTTGATGTTTTTTTTTTTTTTTTTTTTTTTTTTTTTTTTTTTTTTTCATGACATAGATGAGGTGGACTAAATATTTCAGTTCCAGCTGCGTGATGACTGTCATTTTCCATGGGAGACTTGGAGCAGTGTTCAGTTAGGTTCCTGTGGCTCAGTGACCACTTGGCCAGATGATGGGTATCATGGAGAATACTTTCCTAAAACTGTTAGACCCTATCTTTTTCCCATCTGGGGTCCTATAAGTGAGACTCAACATTCAGCTTCTTGGTTGCCCCAGGGCCTGTTTTCTAGGAAGTTAAGGCCTGCCTGTGGACACAAAGGGGTCAGTTTCATCTGCATGCCCTTATTCTAAAGCTTGGATAAGCTGCTAGGTCCCTTCTCTGTTACCTGCATTATCAGGAAGCACATGGGTAGTTGTAGCGCTTGTTTTAAAAACTACTTTATTAGGCCTTTATCTCCCTTCCAACCTCCCAACCCTATGTAGGAGAGAGAAGGTTAGTGGGGAGAGAGGACCCCTTTACTTCTTATAAGGGTTCTTATAGGTATCTATACCAATCTCTATCAACAGCAAACACAGCCAGCAGTCTCCTCCAAGCCACTGTGCTCCGAAGCATTTCTCTCAGTCTATCTGCTCCAAACCACCACACCGTTCATTTCTCTGGTCTCCACACTGCTATAGGTCACACTTTCTGTGCTCTCAAATTTATAGTCTTAGAGCCCTAGGCCACTGGAAGGCTGTTACCCACTGGTAAGAGCTACCCCGGCCTGAGACAATTAACAGATGTGGACAAACTGTAGCCCAACTAAAATTTCACACTTGGGATTAAAGTAAAAATATATTTACATAACATAACCGAGTTTACAAAAATAAACAAAACTTGCATTACAGGTGGTCATATCTGGAGGGAGCTCCTGGCCACATCTGGGGAGGGGAGCATATCCAGCAAGGGCTAGAGCAAGTCACATGCCCCAGCTGCAGGCCATAACTAGATAACCTTCTCAGTCTCTTCTGCTCTCTCCTGTTTTTGTTTTATATTGCAGAGACAGGGTTCTAGTATGTGCAAGATGGCCTTGAACTGTTTTTATGGCTTAGGCTGGCTTTGAACTTGGGATCCTCCTGCTTCAGATTTCCAAGTGCTGCCTTAAAGCTTGGTGACCCTATGCCTGCCTGCCTAAACCTGGAGATTCTGAGCTGCAGGTGACAGGATAGCTGAATGGCTGTGGCTGTTGGGTGGAGCTTACTGTGGGAAAGTTTTCTGTAGCCAAGAGAATTGAGCAACAGAGGCAGGCACCCTGCTAGGCTTGGCTTCTGCCTCTGTGGGGCCTGCATGGTGTCCACTGACAGTGGGCCATGCAGAGGGCGAGGCACAGAGTGTCATAGGCAGGTCTTTAAGAAATTAGTCTCCTACTTGAAGGACCTCTTGGATGTTGCTTAAAAGTAATATTGTAGAGCACTTGGAATTGATGTTTCTGCTTCTTTCTTTCTTTCTTTCTTTCTTTCTTTCTTTCTTTCTTTCTTTC